AGTTTTAAAGTGAAAAAGTGCATAAAGGCACAAAAAGAGTTGATGAGTTTTTGTATTTTTTATGTCTTTTGAAATTGGTCAAAGCATGATTAACATTGATTGACTTTTATTAAAAAAAACAAAGTTTAAAAATCACTTGACGAAAGTCAAGGTTTTATTGCGAAATCGGTTTTGAAGTTTGAAACCAAGAAGGTTTTGAAAGAGGGAGAAAGTTTTGAAAATTTAAGAAGGGGAGGAGATGAAGTGACTATCCTAAAAAAAAAACAAAATAAGAGCCAGAGATAAGAAAGATCTAACCAACTTGTAGCACACTCCAAAGCGAGCAAAAAGAGTTCCATCCGATTTAAAGCATAAGCCAATGATCGAGCCAAATAAAGGCTAAGATTCAAAATACTCCAAGCATAGGGAAGAAAGTCCTAATCCTAAGTCCAAAATGTCCATGAAGTCCAAAGTCTAAGAATGGTCCAAGAGTATAACCACAAAGTTAATAGCACCAAATTTTTAGATGTTTTATCCTTTATTAATGTTTTGAACAAAGTATGGTCCAAATGGACAAAAGAAAAATGACATAAACATAAACAAAGATATGGTATGAAATGATACAATGGAAGCATAAAAGTAAAAAAATAAGGAGTAAAAAGAGAATATAAACAAAATTAAACAAGGATATTGTTAGTGAATTAGTGGTTAGTGGTTAGAACATATGATCAATGATGATTAATTCTTGCACTTAGACCAAGATTAATGAAAATTCATTAGAGGATTGATAGAATCAAAGCCTCCTAACAATGATTTTCATAGGTATTGGAGTTAAGACAAGTAACTAAACATACTTGGACTTTTAAACGTAAGTTTGAGCCACGAATGATCATTTTCCGATTAAGGGACACTTTAGCGCTATGTTAAGCAATCGTAATCGGGTTTATGTAGAAACCACGACTATCTGAGGCCGGTCAATAAAATGTTAGTGTTAATACATGTTAGAGAAATGATATATAAATCACTCTCCTAAAACATGCCACACAAAAAGAAAAGAGGTGGTAATCAAGATTTTTCATCAATTAATCAAAGGTAATCTATCACTATTCCAAAGTAAGGAGAATTATCTCAATGATTATTCGTCCATAGTTTTGAAATAATGAAGATTAATCAACCTTGATAATCAACAATCTATGATCCATAGATTTCATCGATCAAAAGAAAAATAAGAAGAAGAACTAAAATGAAAAGAGACCACAATTTGGATCTTAAATCGATTAAATCATCATCAATATCAATCACCTCTTTTGGTGGATAAAATCGACACCCAAAGTCCATTGAGATTGATGAGATCTTATCAAAATTTAAAATCCAAAACAACCAACAATTAGCTCAAAACAAAAGTTTTTTTAAATAAATTTTTTAAGAGCTCTTTTAAAAAAACTATTTAAAATATTAACTAGTAAAAAAAAAGAAATAACAAAATAAAAGGAATAAAGAAAAAATATATTTAAAATAGTAAAGAAAAACGAAAAGGAGAAAGAGAAATAGAAAACCAAAGCATCAGAACAACTTTCTTCTTCAAAACTTCACGCGACACCGTTCACCATGGCTATGGATTCAAGCTCAAATCAAAGCGACGGGATGCGAAACTAACACGGTTGTGATCGGAATCAAAAACTCTTCACAACAGTATAAACAATCCAAGGAAATATGCAATGACGAACTCGAATCGAGAAAACGAAATCCATCGAACTACCTTCAAAATCACAGGTAAGAAATCAATCCAAACTTCTTCTTGCTTCTCTTCTTCTTCTGAACAAATCTCTGGTTGAATTGCTGTTGTTGAAGACAATTATGGAATCAAGTTATGAATCCTATTGAAGCTGATTTTTGAAGAAACCGTAATGAAGAAAAATGGAGGTTTGTGATAAATTTGGCAGAGCTTCAATGGCTCTCTGAGCTTGAAGAAAAGAGTGAACAAGGCTCTCTATTTATAGAATGAGAGTGAGGGAGAGTGATTTGCGTTTGAATCTTTTTTTTTCTGCGTTTTGAATTGGGTGTGTTGTGTGAACGGCGTGACTCATGTGCATTTTTCATGTCGTTTTGGAATTTCTCTTTGGTAGCTCATGAAGTCGTTTTTCTTTTTCTTTCAGCTTTATTGTGATTTGATTGTGACGTGGAATATTTTCATCAGCTGGCTCACGTGCTATTTATTTATTTATTTTTTTGCAGCAGCTTGTGAATATGGCTTTGTAACACGGCTGGGATTATATTAACATGGCTTGTATCATGATGAATTTTTCTTCACCCTGTTGCAAGTGGCTCGTTCTTTTAAAGTTACAAGGGTAGCAACAGTAGCAAGCATGAGTTGAATATCTGGTATCTTGGTCAGAGAATGATTTCAGAAGCGAGTTTATGGTGTTTGATCTTACTACAAAATACATCTCCTCTTTCACACCTGATTTGTGAACACGCTCTGAACCTGCTAAGTCTACCACGACCAACTTGCTCTTCCAAACGAGAGGCATCACCATTTTGACTAGATACAATATCTTTGCTTTCTGCGACAGACCTCTTAATATGTACCGCCAGCATTACGTGACTACGAGAAGATTCTGTGTTCATTTTGGTGTTAGCAGCAGTCCGACTAGCTTCCCCGATTCTTAACAACTCCAAAAAGTTTTACTGGTCCCTGATATCTACAATAGTTTCCCCAGGCAAAAATAAATCGCCAGCTCTTGGATCTTCCATTATCGGAATGCTATCATTCGCTGGATTAAGCAAGTCCTGAAGAGTCTCCGTGTAAAACTGCAGGTAGGAGACAGTGACAGCATCAGTATCTGGAGATAAATCAGCAAGAATATCCTCCATTGAACACACCATGATTCCACAATTATACATTATAGTCTGATGATATATATACACCGATGTACATCAATTTAATAAAGATCTGCTTGCTAAGCACGAAGCACAATTAAGCTTGCAATTCTTTTAGCATGGAAATTCTGTACAGCAACGGCAAGCAGGTAGCTAACATCTAAAGCTTTATGCACCAAGTATATCATTCTGAAAGGGCTGTACAATTTCCACTTAGACATAGCATGGACTAAAGCTCTTTTGATTAGCCAGGGGGATGATGGTTCGTTGAAGCTATGGCTCGCTGAAGAAACCTTCTCAATTTGTAATGCTGCATTCTCCTTGTAGTTTCGAGCAGGCATCCGCTTGGGAAGTTTTGCTTCCTCTTCACATCGTAGAAGCTCTGCATATAAGCCATTCAGGTCCAACAATTCATTATGGGTACCCATTTCAACAAGTTGACCCTCCTCCATTACAGCTATATAATCAGCATTTCTTATGAGACTAAGCCTTCGAGCAATTATTATTGTTGAGCGTCCCAACATAAGCATATCTAGAGCCTCATGAACAACCCTCTCAGCCTCAAAATCAAATCCACCAGTGACTTCATCAAGCAGAAGAATTGATGGATTTAGAAGCACAGCTCTTGCAATAGAAAGTTTTATTTTCTGCTTTTCAGTCAAAGCTAGACCTGCTGGAATAAATTGGTAAAGATCCCTGCTGTATCACTGCATCACGATATAGTCTACAGGAATGGAGTACCATTGCAACTCTATCAACTTGCAAGCAGTATATCCTACCATAAACAGTAACAATAAAGAATACTTCAGCTGCTAAAACGGGCTTACTATTAGCCTCAGATTTGGTCATAACCATCTCAAACCTTGGTAAGCGAACAACATCTGCAGATGAAATCTGAAATTCATGGAATGTCTTGCACTGCATTCCTGAAGCGAGAAGAAACAGGCGGCTTTCATGCGTGTAAACCTACCAACTAACATTCAGTTTCCTTGTTTCTACCAATTGGAGTGATTTTGACTCTGACTTATATGCACACAAGTCTAGACCAGTGGTCTTAACAATAACAATATCGTACTGTTGACTGTCTGTCCAAAAAAATCCAAGTATACTTTCTGATTCTATGTATCTTTATGGCCGAATTTCCTAACAAACATATGTGCACGTAGGATCTCCAGACTTATGTCCAACCAGTAATCATGACGCAAGTTTGCTTTAAATTCAGGGAATTCAAAGTAAACAGGCTCTGCTACAGAAGTTGACTTGTACATCACAGCTTTATCAAATAGGCGAGCACCAAGGGGTCCGGTCAAGTCAGGCTTTATAACCTGTTTCAAGTCTGCGGCCAGATCATATCGAACAACTTTCTCATACACACCGACTCCAAGTGACTCAAAGTAGAGAGCATAATTGGTCAGAGCAAGGACAGCACAGACATACTTGATAAACTCTAAGGCTGTATCCCCCCTAGGTTGATCACCCATAAACTGTGGAAGGCCAGCTGATGTACTCTGGTTGTTTTCTGATCTATCCACCCCCTTCATATGTGCAGGCAAAAATCTCCGGAGCGGATGGTAAGGATGGGCACGAGACTGTACTCAAAATGCTTTCAAACATGTCTTCATCAGACCTATCATCTCCGATGCACATCACAAAATCTGGTGGATTACCGCCATTAACCATATTCAAAAGAACTTTCTCAGCTTACTAACCCTTTGGTCACTCCCTGTGGCTTAACTTCCACAATATGCTGGCCTCTTTTAACAAGTGCCGGTTCATTAGCAAGAACGCTTTCCAAGTGGTCCAACAATTCTTTGGCCTGGCAGGAACCAAAATCAGGGTCTGCATCTTGATGATGCCACACCAAAGCACTTTCCTTAATTTCAATACTAGATCCATCAGTTGCTTCTGTATATGACTGCATGACAGGCTCCACTATCTGTTTCCAATCAAGGTCTGCAGACAAGTGACTAGTTTCCCGTTCGGAGTCGCTATTCCACCTTAGAAAGTACCCATGTTCAGCTGCAAGTCCCAGCATTTTGCATGAAGTAAACCAGTCACTCAGAGAATCTGTTGCCCTTCCACTAACAATGAACACAATATTCTTGGTATCGTTACACAGGGCATTTAGCACAGATATGACTTCAGGGCTGGGGGTTTTTCACTGGTGCGGGGGCAACTGCTGAAGCAACAGCATGTTGATTTGCCAATTTATTAATAGCATAATTAGTTAGATTCGCAACATCCTTAGCAGTAGGGGAAGCACCATTTTCTTCAAACTTAACAGCTTGATTTAGTTCATAATCTTCTTCGTCTTCTTCAGGATCAACTTCCTTCTGAATTCTACTCAATGAAGCTTGATCTTTCTGGTTCTGTACTGATAATTCATATTTTGGTGTAGTAGTAGTTGCCACCGGAATGCGTGACTCCTTTATATCAGCAACTCTCACCTGCAGTGGTTCCATAATATTTGATTCCCTATAATCTGGTAAGCTGACTGCTACCTCAGCTTGTTGCTCCATAGAGTCTCTAACAAGCTGGCTCAAAAATGCTACATCAACGGACATCATCCCCAAGCCTTTCAGCAATTTAGAACCAAGTTGTAAGCTAGTCTCTGCATTTTCCATAGTGGCATCCGTCGCACCTGCTTTCTTTAAATCTAAAAGATGTTTTAGATCTCGAGCTCTGGCATATATTGGAACTGCAGGAAAAGCCAATCGTAGCCTCTGAACAGCTTCAACTAATTTTTTCTTCTCAGTGAGCATAATCATGATAGCTTTTGGAGATGAGATACCGGCAGATTGAAGAACACCTGGACTTGATCCATCCCCGTAAATAATAGGAAAACCAAGTTTTCTACCTTCCTTTACAACCCTGGCATCTATATCAAGTACCACATAAGGCCATCCTGTTGCATCACTATCTCCTTCTGAAGCCATTGGGTTAGACAGCAAGTTGGCAAGGACCTAGCCCATTTGTCCAAATCCAAAGACGACAACAGGTTCATTGACATCAAAATTAACCATATCAGAGTCTTTCTCTTTATTCTCGTCATCAGATCGGTCTTCAATAAAGCTAGCAGCCCTCCTTCCAGCTTCATTCAGAAACGGGGTTAGCGCCATTGACAATACAACAACAATTATGAGCAGCTTGTTGAGCTCAAGTGGAAGCACCCCAAGTCTATTTGCCAAAGAAAATACTACAAATCCGAACTCTCCTCCTTGGGATAGAAGCAATCCTATTCTTACACTTTCTTGTAAAGTAAGGCCAACGCGAGGACCAATTGCAGTTATGATCAATGTTTTGATCGTAATTAAACCTGCCAAGAGCGTAAGTACATTTGGCCACTCTCGCAAGAGAACCTGCATGTCAATTGAAGTCCCTGTAGTTAGAAAAAACAACCCGAGCAGCAAGCCTCTAAATGGCCGTATGTCTGCTTCAATCTGGGTCCTGAAATTTGTCTCTGCTAGGATTGCCCCAGCTAAAAATGCTCCAAGCGTATCACTGAAGCCCAGTTTCTGTGTGAGTAGTGAAGTCCCAGCAATAGTCAGCAAGCAAAGAGCAACAAAAGCCTCTGAACTTCTTGTATCTGCAACAACCTCAAAAACTCTTCGGAGGATATACTTTGCTTCAAATGAAAGCAGACCCAATCCACCTAATGCCTTCAAACTTTCTTGAGCAAGCATGGGCCAAATACTTTCCTCAGTCATAGTCTGCCTCTCAAGTACTGGAAGTATAACCAAAAGAGGGACAACAGCTATGTCCTGCAAAAGAAGTATCCCAAGAGTTGCTGAACCAAGCCTTGTAGGAAGCTCACCTTTCTCTGCAAGAAGCTGAAGAACAAATGCAGAAGATGACAGAGAGAGAGCAGCCCCAATCACTACAGCTTCGTCGACACTTCTGATGTTCACCAGATCAGACCTGAGTCAATCCCATTCCAAATGCATACTTTGCAAGAGCTTTCAAACGTGCTAGTGAAAGTTTTAAACCCATCTCAAACAGCAAGAAAAGAATCCCCCATTCCGACAAAACTTTAACATCTTCAAGGTTCCTAATTAAACCAAACTGATTAAGCACCACCCCAGCAAGGAAAAAAAAACCAAGTATAAGACTGGCTTTAATAAACTTGAACGATGGGACGATAAAGACGGTAACAGCCAAGAAAGTAAGAGTATCCAATCCTAGATCATTAACAACTTCAACCGCTCCAGCAACATCATATGCTGTAGCATTTGTCCGTAACCGTTCCGACCTTAACGGCCTATACTTAGAGAAATAGGATAATTTCCAACCAGAAAATGAAGGAACATCCAAAGGCGTTCTTCTATTGAAATTCTCTGATACAGTACTACCATGACATAGAAATGGAAGTTGCTTAGAACTTTTACAAATTCGCGAAGTGGCGCGAGAATAACCGGGACTCTTTTGATTGGTCAAGTCATATTCGTGAATGGAATATATGAATTGTGTGAGTATGAATCGTTTAGCCACCTCAGCAATTCAAGTTTATTGTCATGATGTGGAACTTGTGGATCACAAATATTTCTCTCATTTTTCCCACACCTCTGATAGAAATGAACACAACTACTCATGTACCAGGACATTACTTGCACCTTCAATTTGGACCCAACTTCTCATTGAACACTGCTTGATAAACCAATGAATTTCAACACAAGACAAATTGACCATGAACGATCACAATTCCTGAGAAAATATCCTACCACCACGGGTAACTTATAGTTGAAGCAGACTCTTGATGGTTTGACCAAGATGAGGTCAAACGTCCATCTGATTTAAACTTGAATGAATGTCTTTGCCATTAATCTCCTTGCAAAACCCTAAACACACAGAGAAGAAGAAGAAACAAACAAATTGAAAAATATTTTTGGTATTTTGGTTAGATGTTAGTAAACAAAAAAGAAAGTAAGAAACCCATAAGGGTGCGAAAGCCAAAAGTATGACCTTGTTTGTGGAATGATATGCAAATGAAATGTGGGATCTTAGGGGTAAAAATTAGGGTATTACACCTAGAACACAAACAGGCCACCTGCCAACTTAATCTTACTAACAACCTTGAACCAAAGGCCAACTTCAAACAACCCCTCCATGGCCAAACCCCACAGGGTGATTATCAGGGCCAAACAGAGTGAATAGATGTAACATGATATGGTAACCAAACAGGAATGTCCCTCTATGCTCTGATATTTTAACAAACAAGGCTCACCACAAAAAGAAACAAAACAGTCCTACCTAACAAGAAATGCCCACCAAAAACATTGCTAGTGTAACCTAATGTCAAGGTTCTAGATTGAGGCAAACCAAGCATAATATTCATGAGCACAAATGTAACAAGCAACACCAGAACCAAAACCACATCAGAAATCAATAGCATCAAAATCAACCAAACTTATGTTCTAGCAAGAAATCATGAGTTAACAATTTACTCCAAAACTGTTTTGATAACAAAACAACAAAATTCAACATACCAATGTTGGAAACCTGACAAGAACAAGATAAACACACATGTTAAGATTCATCCAATCCTTACATTCATCAAAATCAAGTGTCATGAAAATCATTAAAAGTCCATAGCTCATATTTCTCAATATTGCTCAAAAATGCCAAAGTATGGAAAATGATGCAAAGGGCAATGTTTATAAGCTACATACCTCTTATAGACTTTGTTGAACAAGCTAGAATAATCAAGAAACCCAGGGAACTTCAATCTACCTTTTTGCCTTGAGTCCTTTCTTCTCTTTGAAGCAATATGCAAATATGATGACAAATGGAGAAATGCAGTCCACCAATGATTTCTAGCACTTTGGACAGTTGATAAATACTATATGAGAGGTGTTTGAGTGATTAAAACACAGAAAATGCTTAGAACAAGATTTGGTAGAATTTGTAGCTTTTGGTCAAAGTATCTTTATGTAGAAGTTGACTTTTTGAAAAATGAGGTTTTTGAGAGGTTTAATGGTTTGGACACCTTCTATATTATGTTTATGGACTGTGCGGATGATATTTGAAAGTTTAGAATGGTTGGAAATGGTTTTGGATGTTGAACTGTCCAAGACAGATTTTGGAGGTTTTTGGTGATTTTGCAATTTTGTGAATTGAGAGCAAAGAATGGAAAGAGTGAAGGTTTTCAATCTTTCTGGTTTTTAGAAGATTGTTGATGTTCAAAATGAATTGAGGGAGAGTCCTATTTATTGGCAAATGAAGTGGCTTGGGCAGATTTGAAGTTTCCTCACTTTGAAGAAAGGTTTTGGATTTTTTTGATTAAACCTCCACAAAAGGGTTTCCTTGGCTGAAAGGTAAGCCTCATTAGTCAAGAAAAATGATGAATTAGTATGGCTAATTGCAGGCTAGAGATGTAGTATCATGGCTGGTTCAGAATTGCTTTACACCTCATGCTTACTTGTTCACTTTAAGTGCAAGTTGCAAGGCAACTTGCAAGCCACTTGCAAAGCTTTGCTAAATTGATTTCCTCTGCATAATTTTTGTATTTTCAAGCTACAAACTCCTCACATATAAGATACAACATGATACACCAGCTGAGTTTGGTCCATTTTGATGAAAGAATGAATTCTTGAATTTTGACAATGTGGGACTAAAGTGAAAAACCACCATCTTGCCATGATCATAACTTTCAGCTCACAAATCCTTTTGAGATGTGATCGTACTTTTTAGAAAGCCCTCAAATAGCTCTAAAACATTCATGTTTTCATGAGTTTCAATTTCTCAAAGGAACTTGGCCAAAAAGCCTTCCAAAGTTGCTAAAAAATGAACTTAAAAGTGAAATTTCTCTAAGTCCTTTTCCCCTCTAGAAATGAATTTGATCATAACTCCAAATCTATGCATTTTCTGATCATGGACCACTTAGGGACTTTTGTAGGACTTTTCAAGAGCTTCCAAATGAGATTTGAACCAACTCAATTGGATGTGTGGTTAAGGAGTTATGGTTTAGCCCCTTTCAAAACCCTAATTTCCCAGTTTTTCGATTACTCCTTCATCCTTGATCCAATGGTCATGAAAATTGATATGCAAGTCCAATATGACATAAGGAACAATTTTTTTTCACAACTTTAAGTCCAATTCCTAAAATTTGGAGAGTTGACTTTTCGGTCAACCGTACGACCGATCGGTGATTACCGAGTCGTCTGTTGACACTTTGGACCTTCTGATACTTTGAAACTTCTTGGATGAACTTTATTAAGCTATATGAACTTCATGAGTCATAATCCCACCATTTAAACATCTTCCAACATCAAAGTCAAACTACATTTGACTTTTACTAGTCAAAAACCTTAATCGGGTGCCCTGAAATACATTGCTCTGGATTCTGGGGTAATAACCTCAAATTGGATTCTCAATTGTCTTTATATGATACCCTTGACCTTGTTTCCTAATTGAATGAGCCCAAAACATTGACTAATCACAAACCCTGAAGCTTCGATTTTGACTGCACGAAACCCTGATTCATCTATAATTTGACAAAGACAAACTTGCACTTGGTTAAGGTTAGATAATTCATGAGTATCCTCCTAAAATGATAATGAGAATCTAAGGGGCCAAAATTTGGGGTGCAACAGTTGCCCCTATTTAAATATCTTCACTAGATGGAACTGAGGGATGATGATCCTCGTAGAATCGCAGTGAAAGGTATTTAAATATAGAAAACCGAAAATTTTGCCCCTTAGATCCGATGATATGCAAAAGGACAGGTCATGATATGTCATGAATTCTAAATAATGCTTCATGATGCTTGGATGCGAGACATATGCAGAAGACAGAAAAACAAAACAACGAGTAACTACTCGCGGGGACCTGGCATCGTGGATCCGACACTAGGGAATACCGAGGTATAACAATCAATAGTTCAAACATGACTAGTGATAACGGAGAGAAAAATTTACATGAGGATGCACAAAATCCAATG